TAGAAAAGAAATGACTTCTGATATAATAAAAGCAGACTGATTCCTGCAGTAACTCCAGATCCAAAAGGCATAAAGGGTGGCTATCAGAGAGAGAGAGAGGGGGGAAGAGGAGCAGGTGGGAATGTGGGCAGGCAGGGCAGATGGCACTCGGCAGTGGTTTATGCTGGAGGACTGTGATGAACCTTCCCACAAAGATAATAACAAGCTTCTCCTTCTGAACCAGCACTTGGCGAAAATAATAATAGTGGCTCAGACTGTAATTCAGTTTAAAGGAGAACTATATGACATATACCAGCTTCAATTTTTTTTTAAAGAACAAACACAAAACAAGAGCCATAGTTCAAGTAACAAAATAAATGTATTTGTTTTTTCAGCATTCCCGGGGTAAATTATCACTCTTTTGGATATAGGATGCGAAGCACTCAGCTGTACCGAAGAACATTCTTGGATTTTGCCAGCCACATTCTTATTCCCAGCTGTCCTGGATCAGACCATTGGTTGGTCCTACTCCTCTGTAAGACCTTCCAGAAAAAACCTCAAGGCTAAAACAATTACAGACATTTTAATTTTAACAGGCCTTATTTTCTCCTTCCACACCTCTGTAAATTGTTTTCCACTAATCTCACACTGTCCAAACAAAAGCTATGCTGGCCTCCAGAGGTGAGTCAGAGAGCTAGAATTCATAGCAAAACTAGCCTTGAGTCAACAGAGTGAGCATCCCTCCTACTGTGACTGTCCTCAGAGGCTGCTGAGCTAATCACACAAAAGGGCTCATTAAAAACAGTATCTAACCTTATCCAACACGTGATCTGATGGTTCACCTGGGACACAGCGCCCTAAGTGAGCTGCCAAGGAGGTCAATTTTTAGTAAATCAAGGAATCAGACTTACGAACTTTTGTAGCAGGTCAGCATAAGACTTACTCCCTCTGACAGTTCTCACACAGGGAAGTGTCAGCGCTCGCGGGCTGTATGATGCCGCAGGAGCAGGCCTTCCTATGCAGAGCTTCCTCTGGGTGAGAGCACTGAGTCCAGGGGGTTGACGGCTATTCACGGGCAGCTGGGGAGGGCTCCAGGGATGTTCCTGGCACTGACAGATGTGCCAGTATGTTGACATATCCACCTGCCCTCTGCGGGCAGGTGCACGAAGCAATCTTTTCACTTCAGCCTACCAACCATAGCAAGTTAAACTGTAACTACGAGGACAGCAGGAAACTATGCACCTACTAAAGCTGTGTCACGGGCTTCGCAGAGCATCATGTTCTTTCCCAGCCTCGATGGCTGGCAGAGGATTTCTTTAGAGTAAATCAAATCTACTGCCAACTCAGTGATCCCTGACACAAGGACATCAGACACTCCTTCTCCCTGTCCAATAAAGATGGCATCTGGGGTGAAGTGAAAACACTTGGGCCAACTCTAGAGCCCCAAGGGTATCTATCCCTAATCCTTTCCATTCATTCATAAAGGAAAGGGTGTTACTTATTTAAAATGCTAAGGTTAGAAAAGTAGTCTTTAATTTAATCAAGCAGGAACAAAGACTCAGCAGGAACTCTTCAGAAAGATGCCACTGGCAATTCTCAGTTTATAAAGTCACTTTATTTTATTCCTTGATTGACTCAGTTAATGCTCTCCACTGGCAACACAGCCTCTAGTCCAACAGGAGGACCTAGAGAAAGCCTGGGTTCAGCTATTAAGAACTGTCTTTCAGAAACATGGATCTGAACTCCAGCTCTGCTTTTCACTGGCTGTGAAATTATATTCATATAGTACTTACATATTTCTTCTTTAAGATACATGTTTAAGTATAGTCCCAATTCTTTCACAGTCATTTGTTATTATTTCATCCTCTACGCCTCAAACAACATACCGAATCCATCACCCACATCTCTGACCACATGTCCCACACTCATCCCACCCTCAGCACTTAAACTGTTGTCATATCACTCTCCTTCCTGTCTTTAAATATAGGTCTAGGGCCTCTCTGGTGGCACAAGGGGTTAAATCTCAGCACTATGAAGCTATCGGCAGCCAATGAAGCATGAGTTTGATCCCCGGCCAGGGAGCTGACCCACATGGCCAAGCAGACCTCTCCTGTCTCACCCGCTGCTCCCCTCTGCAGTCTATTTCAGTAGGTTCACCTGTTCAGTTCCCCACTCTGTCTCTGGTGAATCCTCTCAACCCTGCACCTCTGGCCTACACCTCAGCTCTTGTATGCATAAATAAATAAAACACATCTTAAAAATAAATACATAAAAATCAGCCCTTTCTTTGAAAATCTTCTGTCAACTGCCTTTATTAGCTTTTAACTCCCCAGTCATTCTACACAAATTATGCACTTCATGTTTCCTACTGGCCAAATTCACACTTTGTCTTACCATTTTCTCTAATGGCTGCATACATGTTTCATGTCCCCTACTATACTATAATCTGCTGATTGAAATGGCTAATGTCTTTTATTCTTCAAGTCTCCTACTGTACATTGTATACTATTCTAAATAGCATAATGGTGTATTTAATACTTACGGATGACTATCTATACCTTAACCCTATTCCTAAGGAGACTTAAAAGGTGGCAGTGACTCAATTTTAGCCAGAAATGCTCCCAGAGGTCTTGCTGGGTGCTCATGTAAGTGCTTTCCAAATAAGATTCTATTTATATTAGAGGCTCCACCAACTTCTCTTTGGGATCTCAGTTCCACAGTCTCTCTGCATTATAGTCAACAGTTTAGACATCATCTCCAGTGAAACCTTTTCTCCATGGTTCTTGCAAGTACTATTTCTAAACGATCCTAAAGGTAATACACCATGAGTTCATCAGCTTAAGAAATGTCTTACGGGCCCTCCCTGGTGGCGCAGCGGGTTAAAGC